CAAACACCACATCTCTACTGGTTCGAATTTTTCTAGTTGTTGGGTCAAATAATCTGTAGGCCTTTGATTCTTTACTTACACCAACAAATACATGTAACTGGCTTCTGTCATCCATCTTTGTTCTCATTTGACTTGGAACATGCATATGAGCCAAACACCCGAAGACCCGAAAATAGTGTACCTTGGGTTTGCTTCCAGACCATGCCTCGTATGGTGTTAGTTCTTCTAGAGCAGCTGTTGGYGACCTATTGATGATGTGAACACACCAATTTGCTGCTTCGGCCCAAAGTTCCTTTGGCATTTGTTTCKCACTCAACATGGATCGCACCATATTCATAATGGTGCGATTCTTTCGTTCTGCAACACCGTTCTGTTGCGGTGTGTATGCTGCCATTAGTTGTCGATTGATCCCCTCCTTTTCACAAAAATTGTTGAATTCACTCGAGTTGAATTCACCTCCCCTATCTGTTCGTAATGCAAGTATACTTGATCCGATTTCTTTCTCCACAGTAGCCTTGAAAATCTTGAATGTATGGAAAGCTTCTGATTTCTGATTTAAGAGATATATCCAAGTTTTCCTTGTAAAGTCATCGATAAAACTTAAAATATACCTCTTGTTTCCATACGATGTAGGGGTGATTGGGCCGCATATATCAGAGTGGATCAGTTGCAACTTGTGGGTAGACTCCCATGCGCTTTTCTTCGGAATGCTTTCTCGGTGTTGTTTTCCTATCAGACAGCTTGAACATACTTCGTTTGAGGCTTGAATTGTAGGCAACCCTTCTACCATTTCTTTTGCAGATAACGTTTTTAGCCCTTTGTAACTCAAATGTCCATAGCGGCAGTGCCATAGATACGCAACATCATCTGTCTGAGCTTGCAGACACGTCTGTTCCTTCGTCACCACTTCTGCAATTAATGGAAATATCCGGTTCTTGCTCATCTGTGACTGCATAATGATACCCATTGTTGGATGATAAACTTTGCATATTCTTTTATGAATCAGTACTTCTAGCTCCTTCTCTTGTAATTGCCCGATACTCAGTAAATTGCTTTTCAACTCTGGTATGTAGTAAACATTTGAGATGACTAGAACTTTCCCATTAGCCTTCATTCGAACAGTTCCCCTTCCTGCAACAGTGATTCGAGTATCATTCCCAAGCTTCACCGTGTGCTTCACATCGTTTCTTAGTTCGAGCTCTAAAAACCATGCTTGGTTTCCACTCATGTGATTACTGCATCCTGAGTCTAAAAACCATACTTCACCTTGTACATTTTTGCTTTCTTCTTCGTAAGTCATCAACAGATCCTCATTTTTCTCTAGGTAGGCCATTAAGATAACTTCTTCACTATCTTCAAATTCTGCAAAATTAGCCTTCCCTTCCCATTCTGGACATTCATACTGAAAATGCCCAAGTTTCTGACACTTCCAGCATTCTAAAGTTGCTCTGTTCACCATGTGTCTACCTCGTCCTCTACCTCGACCGCTCCCAGATCGTCCACGACCTCTTCCACCAGGGCTTCGGCTTTCATTCGCTACCTTCAAGACATGTTCGTATTCCTTCACAGTCTTGCGAAACTTCTGTTCATGAACGATTAGAGAGCTTTGAAGTTCGTCCACACTCAGGTGATCTATGTCTTTGGCCTCTTCAATAGACACAACAATGTAGTTGAATCTTTCTGTGAGTGTTCGTAATATCTTCTCGACAATTTGTTTGTCTTCTAGAGTCTCACCATTATTACGCATATTACTTGCCACAGTCATAACTCGTCCAAAGTATTCTGCAATCGTCTCTCCTTCCTTCATTTCGAGAACTTCAAATTCCCTTCGAAGTGCCTGTAGCTGCGATCTCTTAACCCTTGCATTTCCTTGGTATCTTATTCTTAATGACTCCCAAAGATCCCTTGAGGTTTCCTTTTGGAGTATTGTTTTAAGAATAGTTTTGTTGATGGCAGCAAACAGATAGTTCTTGACTTTAAGGTCTTTGATCTTCAATTCTGCCCGAGCCTTTTTCTCCGCATCAGTCTCTCTTGTTCCCGTTGGCGGCTCTTGATACCCTGGATCAATGAGATTCCACCACTCCTTGGATCGAAGCAAATTCTCCATCAGCATACTCCAGTGATCGTAGTCTCCATCGAGCTTTGGAATGCTCAACAGATTCTGTCCTTCGCTAGACATCTCACTCTTATCTTCCCTCTCGTTCACTCGTGTATGCTCTCCTCTGTTCACACCAGTCTTCCTGAACTTGGCTTTGATACCAAATGTTATACAAAGAAGACTAATGTGAATACTCAGAATGCTTTTGATGATCTTTATTGATAAACTAGATAGCTTTATATAGCCTTACATGTAAACAGATACTTGCTGAAATAAAGGAATTGACTAAAACAAAAAGACCTATTCCTACTCCTGTTTATTCGCAGACTAAAAGACCAAGCAGTCTAAGTGGTTACTCAACAAACATGAGATTAAAAGTGGCCAATAGTTCAGATCTCTTCTTATGCTTCTCACCAAAACTTTCTTTCTCACACGATCCTTCGCCTTGATGACATATGCTAATCCTCATCAGTGTCACTAATGCACTGAAAATAGCCACTGAAACCACTTGACACTGAGATGGTTGCCAAGGACGATGCCCCTAGAACCCCACCATATAGCAACGTTCAACAATCTTGTCTTCTATTTAGCTTATACAAATGTACACTACACACTTTCTATAATTCCCTATTGATCAACTAAAATCTGCAACACCGAGGTGTACCACTCTAGGGACTTACACTTTGGGGTAATCCAAAGTAGTCTAGCCCCCTTGCCTATTTAGCCCCCTCTCGACATTCGGGGTCAATATGTGCTCGTTTAACCTCCTTTGGGGGGGGGGGAGCGGTTAGAATGTGTTGTCGACAAGAATTACTTATCAATATATGTTGGAAACTTAGTTCTCTCCTCAAGAGCTATTTTGAAAAGTAACTTAATGGGATTCCGCATATTTTAACAATACCTCATGAGCATTCCTTATATGATCCAAAGAAAGCCTCATGTTACTATGTGATCTGGAGCAAAAAGAGTTAGTGGATGCATTGATGTACCAATGGAAGCTGGGGAGACTAATTAGAAGACCACAATTTTTGATCCGTCAAGAGTTATGGGGTTTAAGATATGCATGAAAAACTCACAACAGACCGGATGTTTGTTTGCCCACAATGATTTGTCCCAACTTTCAGCCTAAAATAAGTTTGCCCCAACTTTCCGCCCAAAATCCTTCATGTGGGGCAGAAATTCACTTCTAATAAAATTTTCATTGTTTTACGTTATAATAAGCAAGTTGTGTGAAATCAACATTTTTTATTATCACGCAATGCGACCCTAAGGTCGCGGTTCGAGGTTCACCCACGTCCCACCTTCGCACCTACGATACAACAAACGCGACCCTAGGCTCGACCAACCTCAAATCTGATCACTTACGGTATAGGAAATGCAACCCTGACATGCAATGCAAGGATCGCAACCACCCCCCCCCCCCCTGAAACTTAGAAAGTTCATTTACTTTGCTCTTCTCTGGTTTACCTTGCTTATATTGATATCTAAGTGCAACCAATTTTCAAAATACTTAATACAAGTCAATCTAAGGTTAAAAAAATATATAAAACTTGAAATCACGCAATGCAATTTGTGCTCATAGTGACATATAACGCAATGTGATTTATAAAATGTTATGTAAAACTAGATACATGTCATAATTTTTACTTTGATCTCATTTCAAGCTTTATTCATGTATTATCTTATTCTTTGATGATTTGGTCATATACCCTCATTTGAAGTGCATTTTGAAGGAAATCATTATTTTGGGAACATAAATCTACTCTTTTCTATGATTAAACTTTGTTTGAGAAGTGTTATATGAAGCATGGCCTAAAATCTTGAGATTTCTATGTGATTCATATTTTGTGGAATTGTTGACCTAATTTGGGGTCACGATAGTTGTTAGTCTTATTGAATATGATTCGTAAGGTGGAACAATCACTAGTCTTCCAATATGATGTGTGGGGTATATCTCCCTTTCCGGAATAAATGGATAGGTCCACTTGATAGTGTATGAATGAATGAACTCTCAAAGTAGGCACTAGGAGGGTTGAGTTTTGAGGTGCTATTCGGAAGGGTAGGCACTAAGAACCACTATGCTTGAGGTGCTACCTTGGAGATAGGCACTAAGTGTGTGAGCCTTGAGGTGTTACTCGTGAGAATAGACACTAAGGTCAACCAACTCTTGATGTTAAACTTGCTAAGAGGTCATTAGGGTACTTGGATGTTGTGTCTTGAAGTGCTACACGACAACCTTTGATGAGGGGCATATTTTGTGTTCCCGCCACTCTTAGTGGGTACAAGTCTCCCCCGTTTCCAAAGGAATGGTCTGCATGGTTTATAAGTAGGATTTAATTGCTATTTATGATTGTTTATATTATGTTTATTTTCACTAGGCTTTTTAGCCTAACACTTGTCTCTTGTCGGCATGCATCTCATGTTCAAGTGGTGGGGTTACTAAAAAGGTTTGCCCGACTGTTTGTAAAGAGCTTTCGGGACGCCATGTTTTGGCTTGGACTTTTGATGGTTTGGCTTATTGTATAATCTAGTTCGTTGAGGACTAGATTAAGAGGCTGTTAGCCTCAAACTCGTTTATTTACAAATGTAATTAACCGTTATACATTGTTTCTCCTTTTTGGGTAAAGCTTGATATTCAATACCAATTCCTAGTTTTCTTTGGAAATTTTTGTGGCCCGTGTTCTTGGGGTGTTACACTATTCAAGCAAGAATCAGTTATGTTCAATTTTTATCTTCGAAGGAATTGAAATACAATATCTTTTCTCTCGTGGCATGAGTTCTTGCTTCCCATATATGTCACTATGAGCGCAAATTGCGTTGTACAAGTTACGTTCATTAGATCAAAAGCGCTTGCCAACTATGACTTCTGTTTCTGTGATGTTTTGATCCCAGAACAGAAAGATCTGTTAAATCCATCTTGCCTTTTCTAGTCAGAACCAAGTGAAAAATCTTACAAACCAACCGTTGCCCGCCAGGCTTCGTTCATGTAGCATGTCCGTTTGTGTGATCAAAAGAATAATACAACATCAACTACTGCTATATTACAAAATTTACAATCCAAAACTAACAATCTTGGGTGTTAGGTTCTTCAGTAATCTTTCTATATCCTCCTCACTGGATCTCTGGAAACCATATTTAGAATCTGTCATCTGGTCCAATATCAGGCTATAGTTTCCGTTGTAGCTTATTCTGTGTCAACTTCCATAGGTGAAAGATTACTTGTTTGTCCCTGACGTACAAACTGTCCTTTCACCCGAGGTCGCTGCTCTGCTAGCTTTTTTCTGCTTTCGTATCGTACCTGTAGACACAAGTCTAATGAGACGTGTTGAAGACGAGAATCGGCCAGTATCCATCAGTCAATTTCCATATACATTTATAGTACTAGGGGCATGTTCAAACCAGATCGATAAATGTTTTTGAGAACTAGGAACCAACTATTCATGTTCTATTCGTGATGAAAATTATTCATAGTGAATATACATTATATTCATGATGAATAACATACATGTATTAATGAATACATGAAGTAGTTGGTTCCAAGATTCTTAAAATATTTATGGTTCCATTTGAACATTTCCCTATAACACTACTAATATACAGATATCTGGAAGTATTTGTTCGAGATCCTGATGACAGATTGTGGCTGTTTACCTTTTTATCATAGCATCTGTCTTTCCTCTTCATCCTGAATTTGTTTAAGGCGGCTTCTCTGTGACTAGATCGTTGAGTATTACCACTACCGTTACTTCCGCTACCTATGCTGTTGAGACGGTTTAACGTCCCACCATTACAGAAACTGCTACTTAGACTATGATCGGTTGCTGAAGAAATAATCCCTCTATCTTCCACGGTCTCCATCTGATCAGTGGCTTTTCTGTCCGCCATCACGCAATGCAGCTCTGGTGCTTGAAACAAGGATGGTTCCTGATGCTCTGATGAACACGGGCTCCGCATCTGGTTCAAGCTCGGTTGCACACTAAAGGGAGGAGGTAATACTGAACCATAAGTGGCACCTGGGTTCTCAGATCTTAACCCTCTTGCTGGAACTGGAACAGGAAACACTCTATCTTTTGGTGAAGGGAATTGCCTTTGACTTTCCACTTGCCCATGTTGACTCATCATGTGATGCCTAGAATTTCCCACTGGTGCGCTATGGGTATCATAATTATGCTCGACCACATTCTTGGATGGCGGTTTATCAGAATTGATTTCACAATCCTTCTGTTGGTTGGAAATGCTGGTAGATCCTGAGGTTAGGGGTGGTTGTGTTCTATTGATGTACCTGTATGCCCAATGTTCAAATCAATCAGAATCACAAAGATGACTACTTGTATGCGCTCGCCTGAAGTTGAATATAATAGTGGAGAACCATTAGAACCAAATATTCATAATGGATATTCATGTTATTCATTATGAATATTTGGTTTATATGTCCTCAAAATATTTTCTAATTTCTAAATGAACTTTCCATTAACAGTGAACACTCACCGTGAGAATGCCGAGACATCAGATTGCTTCAACCTGTGCCTATCATCACTGAACTGATTCACCGAGCTACTTGGATGAGATCTTCTGAGGGAAAGATCTAAGATTGGTGAAGGATGATCGATCTTGTTTGCACCGCAGTTTAAAGAGCTTTTGTAACTGGGTTTTGGGTAACTGTCAAACGATCCAATCAAATCAATGGCTTCCCTAGAAGTATTGCCAATCGCAACATTGGCATCGACAACATTTTCCCATCTGACATCTATAGCCATGTTCTTTTCTTGACTACATGTATTCACCATTTTCTGTGTGTCATCCTTTGCTGATCCTAATAAATCATACGCATCAGTTTGTTAGATAATTTCTAGTTTATAAAAAAGAAAACAACCAGATAGGAAACTGATCAAAAATTAGCCACAATTAGTCATGTTACCTTCTGCCTCATTGTTTTGTGTCCCCGATTGGTTAGCCCATTTTAAATCAGTGAGCTCCTTCAGTTGTTCCACGGGTGGTCCATCGGCTTCCATGTCTGGTTTTGTGCAAGAGCTCTACACAACAGACATAAATCATCAGTACGAGTGAGATATGCAACTACCAATAAGAAGATTCCTTACAACAAAAATCGGTTTTACAGGACGTCATATTATGTCTAATTGTCCTAATAGACTGCTTTAATATAGTTTACAGGACCAAACCATTTTGTGCCGTATATAAATGTGTTACAATAAGTTGATAGAACATTCTTGGGTGTCCTAACGAGTTTTTCAATACAATTTTGAAATAAAACGTCCTATTAGTCTTTTTATATGACATTATCTAAAAAGTACTTATAAAACAAGTATCCCATAAAAAGATGTCCGTCCTACAAAAATGGTCCTAAATACTTGTTAGGATGCTTAAATACGTCCTAACCTTTATACATGATACACAATTTGTTTGCTTCTATAAATTTAGGACATTAGACATTTTTGGCTTATAAAGCCGAATTCGTTGTAGTGCTTTTATTAATCAAGAAAGCTACCTGAGCATCGCTTCCTTTTTCAATGCATTCTCTATTTTGCTTGATGCAAGCCATGTACCCGCTAGAACGATTGCTAGTTGCATTGTTCTCAGCAGTGGCTTCAACTTTTTGCTGTGCATCGCTCTCTTCTGGGTGCCCGTTACCGCCAGCGGTGGACTGATTAAACAAAACAAGAGAAACCCAGATTAGATCAGACCATAAAGCTACAGATTTGCAATTAAAGTCGAACATCAGACACATACAGCTTGTCTCCTCCAAACATGTTGCCATAAGTTCTTCAATTCATTCTTTCTAACAGGTTTTACAAGAAAATCTGCAGCACCTCTCAGCATACACTTATAAACAGTGCTAACGGAATCATGGGCCGACATCACTGCAGAATCAAATCGAGAAATATTAAACCAGATTCGATATCAAATCTTTCTTTAGATAAATGAAATTTTAAAGTGGGTATTAACAGATATGGATCGTACTTATAACAGGAATGTTTTTGCAGACCGGATGCTCCATGATCAAAGTGAGAAGAGCAAATCCAGAGATGGATGGGAGCTCGACTTCCGTCAGTATGAGATCGATGTTATGAGATCTTCCTTTCAGTACCTCCCATGCCTTTAGACCATCAGAAACAGCAGCAACTGTTTACAACATGAAAAAAAAAGATATAAACCTCATATCTGATGAATCCTTGCTCGAATTCGACATGTTAAATTTGGGGGTTTTGTGTTTTTGAGGTTTTCGAGATACTTAACTACGATTGACCACAAATTCCCCCACCCTTTTTAATTTTGATTACTAAATTCTCCTAAAACTTTACAGATTTTGAATAAAAACATCTGGGATCAGATTTGGAACCATCCGATAATTAAAGGTTAATTTTGAACAATGTAACGAAAATGAAAGGTAATTAAAGGGGGATGATAATAAAGAACACACCTTTATAACTACATTTTCTGAGAAGAGCAGTGATAATCTGACGAGTGGAATCATCAGCTTCAACCAAAAGAACCCTAAGAACCATCTTGGGTAAGAACTTCTCCCACCTGACCACGTTATTGGTGGTGGTGGTTGGCGAATCACCGCCACCACCACCGTCATTCGTCCTGTCTTCACTCCTCATCATCAACTCCGGCATGTCAGCTATCCCCTCGCCGCCGTCGCTGTTGATCAACACTTCCCCCATAATAATATCAGGCGAACGGCCGTCTTCAGATCTTTTGGAAGAGAGAGAGAGAGAGATGGTGTTTGTGAGTAGATTTGTTTGAAGGAGGAAAAGTTATCCTATTGTATCATGAAGTGAATCAAAATATCTGAGAGAAAAAAAATCTAAAAAATATCTATCGTGTCGCTGAATGGCCCAAATTTGCCACGTCGACTTTGATGGAAGAAAAGCAAGCCCCTATTGGCCACCATCATTCATGGTGCTGCTGCTGCATACGTCTCCTCCACTCATTTTTCAAGATTTCTTTAAAATATTTATTTATTTACTTACTTTTCACTAAATTTTGGATTTGGTCCATCAGCTTTTTCATTTTCGACAAAAATAGTCCTTACTCTTTTTTAACTACAAACATTTATCCATCATGATTGCAAAACTCATGAAGATTCAAATCTAAAGGAGGAATCGATCAAAATAATCAAATGACTCCCTCCTGTATATGTTTTAGCCCATTCTTTTTCTAAAATAGCTTGCAAATTCTCATTTTAGAACTTGCTAAATGTACTTTTTATGAATTAAATATGATTATAGATAGGGTTGATTTGCGATCATGTATGTTGGAAGATGCACAAGGGATCCATTAGAACCATCTAGAAAACATTTGTCGAGGGGTGTTAGGTTCACATACATGGGAGGATGCACCAAGGTGTGGGGTAGGATGTGGCGAGGTTCATGATGGATTGACGAAGAGGGATTCAACCTAGGGTTGTCAATTTCATACAAACCCAAACCAACTAACATGCATATCAACCATACCAGTTAAATTAGTACCAACTTAAACCGTTTGGTAGTACCATACAAGTATGCAGACATGGTTGGTACAAGGTATTAGATATCGTATAGACGTATACCACAATACCAACTTATCGTATCAATTTTGTGTATTCACTATTAATTAATTTTTTAAATATTTAATTATTTATCTCTTAGTCATTAATACCTAATCTAAATGTCTAATCAATTAAGCAACCCTCAATTGAATTTCAATTCTTTTCTTTACACACTTATACTCTTTGTTGATTCTCACCCTAATATCTTATGTACATTTAGTCTTGGCAATAACTAAAATACGTATTAGTTTTTTCTTATGTGTTGTACATCTGTATTTTTCTTTTTGGAAAGGCAGCAATTAGGATAAAAGAACAAAACAAACAAGAAGGTTCAAGGAAAAAGTTTTTGCAAGAAACAAAAACCAAAGAAGAGCGCGACTTATACAGGAAAAACAACCCAGAAAGAAGCTGTTCTTGCAACTCCAACTCAAGGAGCAAACGACACCCCAAAACAAACACTAACAAAGAAACACGACTGTGCTACACCAACCAAGCAAAAGCTAGCTGAGATTACAACACCACTCCGATCATGAGACCTTAAAATTCTTGCACCCATTAGAGACCGAAGTAAAGGACAACAATTGACTTTTGAACGCAGGATTCGTGTGCGAAGGGAAATGCTTGGAAAAAAAAAACAAAACTTTATTTTGGAATCTCTACAACATATATAAACATGTCCAAAAAAAAAAAGGCATGCCACATTTGGACTTTTAAACTAGGAATCGAACTTAAGTCTTTGAAAGCAAGGAGAGGGAGAAGTCAAGTTATCGAACCGGAGACCCCATCGTCAAAAAATCTTATCCCATATGTTTTTCTGTATTAATGGTTGAACACAGAGTTTCAATCTTTATCTGAATATATTATGTTGGCCTAGTGGGGGCTATGGAATTGGAACAATTTTCACATCACTAGTTTGTTTCATGTTGCTTGTATGCTATGGTTCATCGGTTAAAAAATAAAGTTTCATCTCTGATTTGATTCATATTGATTGTATGTTAAGATTCATATGCTAAAAAAGTTCATATCACTAATTTATAACTAGACACAAATAATTTCAATCTCTTCTACCGTCACTTTTCTCTTTTGCACTGTTGGTACAAAACCACTACCAAATATGTACCAATCGAAAATACTTGCCACCAATTAACATAGAACCAAGTAAAGTCATACGATATTGGGAAAAACATGGTACCACGCCATGTTTACTCCTAATTCAATCCAAAAAAGAAAGGGGTGTCTTGTTGCCAAAGAGCCATGAAAAAGAAAGAGGACAGGAGAAGAGAGATTTATATTTTTGACATAATATATATTTATTATTTATTATTTATTATTTATTTAGAAGAGAGTGAAATGTAGAATGACTAAAATGTCCCTCGTTTAAACGTGTTAACTGAAATTTTTGACAGGCGTTACAAAGAGGGATGAGGACCCGTCATTTTTACATACGTGGAAGACAAATTTATAATAAATAGATATTAAGGACCAAATTTATTGAAATGGCAAACGTCAAAGGACCAAATCCGAAATTAACTCATCACTTTTCTTAAAGGAACTTGAATCACTGATATTTAAGATATTTTGAAATAAAATATCAGCACCAACTGTCCTTAAATATACTTTATTTAAATATATAAAAGAAATTATATATAATTATTTTAGGTAATAATAAAATAAAAAGAGAATGGTTGATATTTTTTGAAGAGGGGGTGGGGCCCACATGAGAGATATTTGTGAGAGGTTATGGTGTTTAAGGTGACACGTGGGAATGCTGAGTTTTCTAGATTTTCATGGGATTGGGTGGGCATGGTACCACCTCTGTTTGCTTTACCTGGAATTACAAAAGCACCCTTTTCTGACACGTGGCATCTATCTTTAGCCACTTAACTGTCGCTCGTCGATTGGCTAATCATAAGTTGTTGTCTCCGCTTCCATCGGCAAAATTGCGTGCACAGCTTGTATTTTTATTTTAAAAAAAGAGTCTTAAAATGAGAGTTTGAGTATGTATGGGCAAACAGCCAAACTACATAAAAACGGAAATTATTATTTTTCCTATTTTTATTTTAGGCAAACAGTTTTTAAAAAGTTCAAATTTATTGAGTTAGGAACTTAGCATCTTAATAAATATGTTACCTAATTTTTTTTTTAAATAACACTAAAAATATCTCTAATTAAAAAAAGTATAGATAGTATATTCTATCGGAGATGCTCCGTGATATATTAAAAAACTATGATGACCTAGTAAAATTGAATAACTTGACCTTGTTGTAGGATAAGTGTGTTATCGTCTAGAGATATAGATAAGTGTAACAGAGTTAGAATAGAAGTGAGATATCTTGTAGTTAACTACTTGTAACTCATTCATATAAAAAAGGCTTATGATTAATGAAAGTTACATATTCTTTCTCTCTATTCTATTGTTGTTGTTTTGAGTTCTTCTATAATAAACATTCTTATAGTTATGAGCTTTGATACCATTAATATAATTACGTTAATATATATATATATATAGAGGTTGGTTATTATACAACCCTTGACATTTCTGCAACCAATACAATCCAATCTCAATCGTCCATTTCATTTGATGAATATGTGATTTCATAGAAGTTTTGATTGTTTCCTAATATAAAGTATTAATCATAATTAATGAACTCTATTCATATTCCATAAATATTTAAATCATAATAAATGAACTCCCATCATTTATATAAATATCTCAATTAATTGGGTTGCAAGGGTTGTACAAATACACAAGGTTGTAAAAGAAATATACCCTATATATATATGTATATATATATATATATATATGAAAGCAGGATGCAGCACATATATAGCTGCTAGCTACATTAATTTGGGATCCATTTATTGTTAACTAGATTAGGAATCAAATCTATGTGCCTATATCTGTATATGTATATGTGATGACTCTGTATCTGTATATTTTTCCATAATGTAATCATTTTCCTTTCCTAAATACATCTCCAAGTCTCAAAAAATATATTAAAAAAATAAAGAAATATATCACATTGAGGCTTAATATTGTTTGTTTAATTAGATATACACAAAATGGGAGCGGTTTTTTAGGTACCATATATAATTACATAACTACAGCTGCTACCTACAAATTACAAAGATGACTAATATGATGACTTTTGAATGAATTTGAGTCCCTTAATTATCAGACACAAGATGATGATGATATGATGATGACGATGATCCTTTGATTCATGAAAACAAATTAAATCCAAGACTGAATATGTGCAAAGATCTCTGATGATTCTAAATTATCTTCCTCTTCTTTTACTACCACCTGCTCATTGCATTCAAAACCCATCATCAAAATTAATCAAACACCATTTTTACCACAATGTAGCACACCACAAACATTTCAATCCAACACAAAAATCACTTCAAAAGTTACTATCCTACAATCCAACTCTCAACAATTTCAACTTAACCCCACCCAACACAAATTGCTTGGATTCCCCTTGTAATTTGTTGGATAGAGGAATAAATTGTATCTGTCTTGATAAAGTTTTTGGTACATAAATGAAATCGAGTCTTTTCCTCTTAAACTAAAAAAGTTGTATATGATTAAGGAGTGCATTTGAATTGTGTTTATGTTTGACATTCAGACAGGTGGAGATAAACTCCAAGTCCTTAGAACAATATGAATTTGATTACTATCCTCTTTTAACCAAGTTGTATTCCCACAGTCATACCACCTGTAAGAGTAGGAGAGCCAACATGTTGAGAGCATAAAAGTGGAACAATAGATTTCATGCACAAGTCCCTGAAGCATTGTACAGATAAAGATTAGTCCACCAAAATTTATCATCTCATCATATATACCTAGATTTACGCATCCTGGAATCATAATGTTTCTTAATTCGCTCTGCACGTGCATGAGTGATCCTTCTATGATGAGAAGAGGCATCAATTGCAATTACAGMCARCKGGTACTCAAAAGAGAGTACTTGTGCAAGATAACCCTACACCACAATGTAGCACACCATTGTTCACACACTATCATATATATATATATATATATATATATATATATATAGTTGCTAGCTATATTAATTTGGGATCCATTTCTTGTTAACTAGATTAGGAGTCAAATCTCTGTGTATGGGT